ATGTGAAGTGCCTTTAAAAATATCTCTGTTCAATTGCTCGTCGTAGCAACCTCTCTGGTCGTTGTGTTAACTTAATTCAATAAGAAAACTACAGAATTGAGCCCTTTGGCCAGAGAACCAGATTAAATTAAATGAAGCTAACACTGTAAGAACGGAATGTCAACGTTGTTAGGAGAACTATGATTTATGTGCGATTATGCCACATTACATACATAATGATGGAATAATCCGGTTTTTCTATTCTGTGCCAGCAAAGTAACTTAACTTGAGCGACCAAAACCATATTAGTTTGGCTTATCAACTTTTGTGACTCACCAACGCTTAGTAAGTAACATCATGGCTGTGAAAAAAAGGAACAAGGGGAGCGGATATCAAATTACTCAGCAATTTATGAAGGACATGTATCCTCAGCATAATAGCTTAAGTTAAAATGATATTAATTGGGAGGTTTGAAGGTTTTTTCCTGTCCTTCAGATATTTTCTATGAGAAATGGTAATTATAATCTTATACAAGGCAACGTAAACATTTGTCTGCTTGCTGCGACAAAAAAAATGCTACGGGAATTAACCAAAAATATTATCTTAAAGGATATTAAAATGATTGATAGACCAGCATTCACCTAGCATTCTTCAGTTTAAGCAGCTTTTCGTTTTCCAATATCGTATTTGCTACATGCCTAATATTACGTCATGCTATATTGTATATGACTTGAAACAGCCAAATTTGTTTTCAGTATCCATACTCCTAAGGATAAACATGAGAGGTACATAATATGGTACAGTAATCTAATTGTGTTTCTCTCTTAGTAATGAGAGCATTTTTGGTGTAAAAGCAATATTATTATGATATATATTCTTACTGACTTCGGGTGGATGGCACTTTCATGCTTTTATTCCAGCTCTAACTGACTTTAAACCCCTAACAAATTCAACCGATCTAAAGTCAGATGATAGTAGAGCAGATTTTTATTGCTTTTTGCCTTTTCCTTTTTTTTTAGTCACTAAACATCTTGATCGCATGCTGAAAGCGTAACGAATGTGTTACACCTTCACAGAGATCGTTTCAATTAGCAATGAATGGAAAAAACCGTCACTAGCAATCGTTTTCTTAGCAGCTCTTTGAATTCTATCTTGTATCTGTTGTAGAATTGAAGCAGCCAACCATGGACTTACCATGAGATAAGCACGGCGAGAACTGTGCTGAGAAAGCCAGCAAGTCGTTACTAGAAATCTTCAATGGCACTCATAGATGTGACCATTCGTTTTTTTGTTTTTTGTTTTTTTTTTGCTGAAGAACTCTTCAGTCCTATAGCAATGTGACAAAAAGACATCCATCCCAGGAAGGAGGCCTCTAAACAATACACAGTGATAATTTATATTAATTGTGCGGCCCAATCGTTGACGTTAACACTCAAGTAAGCATATAGAAATTCTAATTCATATCGTATACACATTAGTTTTAGTTGTGAAAAGTCCATGTGAAGTGCTTGATTCGAGCAGTCATATCAATATTTTAAAATTATTACTTTCTTTTATTGTTAGCCAGAACTACCATACACAAAAGCAGGAAAATAAAACTACAACATTAATGTCACTTATTGAGCTTGATCGCAAGACTACATCTGCTTTGTCCACTGTATGTTTTATCGCTGATTAGTTTGCTTATGCAATTTTTCATTTACCTGCCAAGACTGTTAACATATCGTTCACAGTCAAGCTGAAGACGAGGTGATTATACGATGAGTGCAGGAATTGACGATGTCGGAGTATAAACGATTATTGTTGGTGTATCACAAAATGTTTAAGTCAATCGCTTTAAAAATTTCAGCTAAATTAAGTGAAATAAGTTACAGTAATGCCAACATCTTTAGAACTCCTAGAATGGGCAACCGCAGTCCAAAACTAGTCAGACATACTTGACTGTCAAATTAGCGGGTCTATTCTGTTTAAGACTCCTGAGTAACTTTTATGAATGTACTTTGCCACAGTATTACCATGAATTTATTATGGCAAACACTTTGGCAAATATTATCTAGAGTCTTGCAGCTGCAGTTCACATCCGTAGTTAACATAATGAAACCCCAACAAAACTCCACCGTCAAAAACCTCCGCTTGATTATTTCTGTCCCCCTCCTGCGACTGCAATCCTTGATCGTGAGTTAAAGTAAAACTGCGTTTTCTTTTCCACAGGAAACAATTAAAAAGGGGACACAATATAGACTTAAAGCCTCTTCTATATTGTTGATTGGTATAGCAATAGACTATTGGATTGATTGATGAATTGAACATGGCTAAGACTATTGTAAAGTGGTGAAAAGGTGTCTCAAGCTTTACGAATTCAAACGTTGATAAAGCGAAGTAAAGCTGGTTTGGAAACCAACAGAGAGTTAACAATAACGCTACTATGATGCACATGCGTAGAAGCTTGAATCGAGTACGACTGACGCGTTTGTTGTGTCTTCCTGGAAAACTCCTTGACGACAGAGATATATGTAAATACGTAACCCACGTTACTGTGGTTGGGATGAAAAATGTCACAATAGTGTATGTGATTGCTAAGAACTTTTGGGGATAGTCAGTGCTAACCCAAATGCACCTGAGTTTGTCTTTGTCGAGGGTCATTCCAAATGGGAGAAAAACATGTGATAGCAGACAAATGAACCATATGATACCAAGGTAGATAAGGACTCGTCGTTTCTTAAATGCTAACTTGTATTTTATAGGTTTGACCACAGAGTACCACCTCTCCAAGGCAAGGCTTGTAACTGAGAAAACAGAAATCTTGCCTAGGAGGAAGACAAAATACTGAGAACCAATGATCTTACAGAAGATCACACCCAACTTGCCAGGTGGAGCCTGGTACGAGTCGAGGGCGATGAGGTAATTGGGTGTTACCGCAAGAAATATTCCTATAAATACCAAATAGAAGAAAGTGCTGTTACAGCTATAAATTGAACGTTCTTTCACACTGACCCGTAGACACCGTAAAGGATAACATTTCAAACTAATAGATACATATGGATTCTAAACATTGATACACTAGAATGAACTTAGCGGAGAAATACATTCATACACATGAAAAACAGAGTGATTTTTTTTTTCACACAAGGCAGGCGCTTTGAACGATTTACCTTTATTTCGGTTTTTATGACAAGCCTTCCTTCCGGGCTCAAAGAAAGAGATGCAGTTGCGTGGTAACTTGACTCAAAGATTTGTAGGTGTTTACAAGTATATACATAATCTGTCTTTTAAGACAATTTGTGTCCTTTTAATATAACCTCAAGGGTAGAGTGTAAATTACCTGTCAGCCAGTCAGTAATAGCCAGGCTGAATATAAGCAGGTTGTAAGCTGACCTGAGCATCTTACCATTTCTCATTATTACCACACATAGAAGAGCGTTGCTCGCAAACGCCGTCAGTGCAATTATGCCGAAGGCTATCCGCAAAAGGAAAGAATAAGCCAAAGGCGAGGATGTAGAGTTGTTGGTAGAATTATCGGATCTGTTGCTGTAGATCATCTAAAAAATAGTAAGACACTTGTAGGTCAATATCTTCAGAATCATGGCCTCTCTATTGCTGATGTTATATAGTTAAAACACCATAGATTTTTTTATATGAAAAGTGTTCTCTTGACAAAAAACTCAACTGAAGGATTTATGTTATTTCTAACATCTGAAGTGATCTTTAAACAATGTTTTGAAACTTTAAGATACAACGCTTATAAAGATCCTACTAAACGATAACAATGTATCAGTAAGTCTTGCTTGAGAAACCGAACAGAGAGTTAATCATGATAACCATCTCCTTATCAACTGCAACTCATTCAGAGTAATTAAAAAGTTCCTTTTTTTTTACTTTCTGTGGATCTCATCCTCATACTGACATGATGATGGTGTGCCGGGTCGTAATCACTTTTTCCATTTTTACAATCCCTCCGTTGTACAAATGGAAGTTTAGTATCTCTCGCGGACTGAAACTTCCCTTGGCTACTTTCTATTTGAGTTAAAACTTAATATGAAGCTTTTTTCAGCGATCGTGAAATACACCTGTTTCTTAATTAGGTTCATCGTTTTTAGAAAAACTACAATAGCTGTTTTCAGGCATATCCTCAATTCAATCGAGGAATTCGTCACGGGTTTTTTGGGATTTTCTCCTGATTATCGAAATTTCTTATTGACGGAACCATTGTCTTGCGCTCATGAAAGAAAGCTACTTAACTTGAAAAAGACATCTTGCAGCAGGTAATTAGATACAAGCTAATCCATTCTCACCTATACGTCTCTTCTTCGGTATTTTGCCGTACCAAGAGAGCTGTTGTTTTTGTAAGGTTTTTGTAAGTCAGTTTTTGGTTTTATGGTTGGCTGTTTGGGTTTTTCGCGAAATACCATTTAAGTGTTTAAACCACAGAAATTTCCAAAGTTTTCCATTTTTCATGACTCGATGATATCCAAACGCTCATCCAAAACTATTATTTCCATGGAAATCAATTTATGTTACCTAATATATTTTCACTCTTAGAGAGTGTTTGCCTTTCGCTTGTTTACAAGAGTTGAGGCCACAGATTACAAGTCAAATAGATAAGCGATTTTTTACATGATATCTCACTATTTTCATGGATATCTTGATCGTTCTAATAATGTGAATGATTGCTTCTGAGGAGGAGAGAGATAAGTATCAAAAACAGGCACAGACATACCCCTGATCAAATGATAATGCATTTGACTAGCTTACCGTAAGAAATGTTTAGCTGCAAGTCATCGCTGTTAACACCATTGATTTCTTTCAAGTGAATTGGCCACTTGTTATGTGCATCTACGATTTACAAGCAGCGATTTTCATCTTCTCAAGTGCTTTACATTACTAATTTGTTTAGGATCCCCCCTTTCAAGATCCCCGAGCATCGGATATGCAGAACAAACTCTTTTACCGGACAATTTGCGTTTTCCTAAGTAATATATTGTGCTCTGTTTACACAATCTTTTTAAAAGGAGGAAGCTGGCGCTCATTCTTCACCTTGTTATGCTAATTGTGCGGCAAGAATCGTAATAAAGCATTCGGTAGAAGCGAAACTGGAAACGTTTTTTTCAGTTTTGATCCGGTTACTCTGGCCGAAACCTAATCGAGGATCATTCTGAGATTTCGTTGACAAAATGGAACTTAGAGGGTGATCAAGTTGGTGTGTTTCAAAAACAGTTGCCCGCCTGCTATCCTGATTGACCAACAGTTAAGCCAGTATATATTTTCGTCTCGATTGTTTCTTATTTTTTTGCACTCTTACCTGCCTAAGGTTTTTCTTCTACATGATTCTTTGAACAAAATAATAGTTTAAAATTTGGAATCCCGTCAGAGGCGTATGTTCCAAAACAGAGAGACTCTAGCCAACTGAACGAACGAAAGCTTTGTTTAGCGATGTGTTTTATTTTGACATGGACCATTATCAATTTATTTTAATTTGGTTATTCAATTCGCAACATCTTAAGTCATGAAGGACAATGATAAATCATACTGTTGGCAAAGTAAGGAGCCTGTTATTACAATACAATCAGTTACACCCACGATAGCTTGTCGCCTCAAAATTGCTGAATCATTTGGTTTTTCTTAATCACTAAAACTCTTTTCAAAATTATCCACTTAGTTGAAATGCTAATTATCACTGTATAATCTGAGCATAGGTTGCCCTACAGATGATAAGCCTTGGAAGCGTGGCATCATGCATGCCAAAAACAGCTGGTCTGATTCAGGAGAACTTATGGCTTCTTTTCTTAATCAAATTCCCTAGCTTTTTTACAATAAATTGTCATCTGCCGACGGTTCGCGCATACCCAGTAACTCAATGAGTGAATCTGACATCACTCTGTATTCAGGTTGTAAGACAATTTTAAAACTCTTCCCATTTTGATACATTTTTTTTAAATAGAGAATGATATTGATGAATGATACTTCTGGTCTACATAAATCAATACGAAATATGTAAACAAATACATAGAATAGAAGGCTTTCATTCTAAGATCAGATAGTTTCTTCTTGGTGAGATGTTGCGAGGATTCCCTATGATAGAGTGAAAAATAAGTAGAGTTTAACCTTGGACTACTGTTTTGATTCGTCTAAGATGACCATACGAAAGTCGACAATCGCGGTATTTGGTCAAAAATTGAAAAGCTTCATATTTTGCTTGGACACTCAGGAGCTTGCAAACGTGATCTAGGAGGTTTCCTCTTTTTTTTTCGCCCAAATCAACTTCTTTGTTCTAAAAAATTCACGAAAACTGAAACGAGTGTTAATAACCCTGCGTGGCGGAAATCAGTCCCCAGACCAGAGGCACTGAGATTAAGTTTGCATGAAAAGCGCGAAAAAAGGCAAACTCATGTAGCAATTAGATAATTAAGTTATGGTTTAGGTTTAAACCAGCACCGTTTCATCTCATTTTGAGCACACAGCAAAGTTTTACAAATTAGTAATATTTCCGTAAAATCCAAATATCGCATATTTTTAGCAAATTTCAGTATAACTTAGAATCGGTCCAGGTAAAGCTCGTGATAAATGGAAATAGAGTGGCATTTTTTTGGGGGGGGGAGGGGGGTAGGGGGAGGATGTAAAGACTTCAACAAACTTGTTCATATGATGATATATATTGTTTTACCACCGAAAAGAACTGACATTACAAATACTGATTGCAGTAAATTATATCTGAAAATTATTCACAAGCTTTTTTTTTTAAGAGTTTTTTTTCTTTCGTCGCTGCAGGTGAGTATTGTCATTTTGCAGGTTTTGTGTTTCTTTGTCTAGCCGGCCTAACTTGTAACTGAAACCGTTGAAATTAATTTCAAGGACAGATGTAACATTAGCATTATACCCGTGGTTCGAATCATATCACACGTAGTATTACTTACTGTTATCTTGGTGACATAAAGCTAAGAATGTCATTATTGCTCGTCTGTATTTTCTGTTGGACACAACGTAAATCCAAGGGTTCACAAAAGAATTTGCCAGAGCAAGCGCTACTGTAAACTCACGAAATGGAGTGCCGAAGTTTAGAATAGGAAATCCGTACTGGTTTATCAAATAGCAAACTTCTGTTGGAAACCAACATACCGTCAACATTAGAGACATAATTGCACACATCCTAAGCAACCGACGTTTGTTTATTTTTCCTCGATTCTCTTTGAGAGCGTTAGACTTCTTTATTTCAACAAATATATGAAGAAAGGCAGCCCATGTGATGAAAGTTGGAAGGAAGAACGTGAGAGACACGTAAATTATTACCACAGCAGTCTCCTGACTCTTTGCGAGAGGTAAAGGAATGAAAAAACATGAATGTTGGAAGTATTTTACGTAGAACAGCTTATAACTCTGAAGGCAAGCGCAGCTGAACCAGATACATCTAATGTATTTGATGAGTTTCCGGTGAGAAAAGGTCTTTTGATAGTGCAATGGTTTTAATAAAACGAACCATCTCTCGACAGCCAGACACGTGATAGTAAGCACCGATCCTTTTCCGAAGGTGAAAATGAAGAATTTAGAAAATATCATTCGACAAAATATCTCACCAGCTATGCCGCCTGGTACTGAATACAAAGACATGCCTATGACGTAGTTAGGTGTGACTATTATAAATAGACCTGAAACATCAACAAGAAATAATTATAGTAAATGTTCCGCCTTCCTCATACAGAGAGTAAGAACTATAAGGAGGAAATAGAGGAATAAAAACTTGATTAATGAAAGAGTTTCCCTTCAGAGTCCAAAATCATCGTACTGTGATTGCGTTGTAACTAAATCTTCCTAAAAATAAATTATGGAAATTTCAAGAAATAGAATTCTTAATACGTTTACAGTTTCTTACACATTTACCATTACCACTACAACAATGTTGAGTCTGGAATGGTCATTATTTATAGAATTACTGACTCTAACAACACAACACATGCTAGTTTTCTTACCCGTGAGCATGTCAGCGATTGCTAGGCTGGTTATCAATATATCATAACAGGTTTTTAGCGTCTTCTTTTTCCGATTCATTGCGACAAAAAACACCAAGTTACTGGTGAAGGCGAGAACCCCAATTATTCCATAAGAAACCTTCGCAATCATTCTATTATCGAAAATTTCGCCATTTTCGTTGAAAATGGAGTCAATCTCGGTTTCGTTAGTAACTCCAGAACTCAAAGTCTCGTTGAACATTCTTAGTTTTCGTTTACGCAATAAACGAATTCTTTGAATTTTCTTTTGCTATTTGATGATTTAAGGAAATAATATAATGAAGGTCAAGCGTGGCTACGTAAATCCGGTAATTTTATGGTCGCGCGTCGTGAATTTACATTTTTTGAAGCACAACATGACAAAGATTAAAGTACGAAGGTTGGTTCAGACGCTTCTTATGCAGAAGATAAGTGAAAACCACACACCAATACGAGAATATTATTATTCACTATAAGATTTAAGAGGCTGGTGACACACTTAATGCAGGCTTTAATTATATCAATGTATCTGGTATTGTACATATCGGAGATTACATCGACAGGGAGCTAAAACATTACTTAAAAAGAGGAAATTTCCTCATGTACTTTTCTCAAGGAATTATTTTGTTATTCTCCGCGAACATTCTGCGATGATGTCATTCTTTTGCCTAATATAGCATTTATTTGACAACAAGTTATTTTCTAAGAAATATATTTACCTTCAGAAAAAGTTATTTGTGATGAAAAGGTTCTTTTTTTTTGTGGACACGTCAACTTTTATATCGTAACAATATCTCCATTGAGAGATGTTGACTTCATAGAGAAGTCACGTTTTTGCTGGGGGGAAGAGACACATATTTGAATATCACCTGCGTTTAATTTAGTCATCGAGATCTTTTAACTCGTGGGAGTAGCAGATGTCGAGCAAGGGAAATGGGTGATTTTGATCTAAAAGCCAGAAGAAACAGAGATTACAAAATTTCGAAGTGGACTAGATGTCGATAACAGAAAATAAACAACACTTACATGATCTAAATCCAAGAAAATTATTTACATGTAACTCAAAAATGCGCGCCAACGTAGTTAGAGAGTTGTAAACAGACTTTCAATTTAGTTCTCTCTTGACAATAGATTCTGCGATATGCATGTACTCAACTTCCTTCACAACTGACTCATGTATACGATTAACTATCTGACGAAGGTTATAATCGAAAATTGCTGTCATAGATGTTCCGGTAATCAACCGTTTTACAGTGCATATTAAAGAATTTCCAAAGTTAAGGCCTTTTAAAAATCTTCACAGTAGCTTTCCTCACGTTCCACTTTTTTTTGTTTCTTTGCCCTAAAACGTCGTCGTCGTGATTGGTGCATGTTAAAATAGTTTAGGTTATTTGCCATACGTCAAAGACCAACAATAAAATCATGATATAGGTGGATTGTTTTTTTGTTGCTGTTTGTTTTTAATGGGAATTTCCCTGCACTTACATCGTCAGAGTTCCACAATCATCCTCTTGCATAGTTATAGATACCAGTATTGAAATGGTCCAATAATCGAACAACTATGATCTAATGTTTAAGGTTCGCAAAGGCTTTTCTCTATTATTCTCTTGTCGAAATATTTACTTGCAACTACCTTCCAGAGTTATTAGGCAGAAGCTCTCCGAATGACTGCTGTATGTGTGAAAGCGTTTATATGGTGTTGTTGACCTGCAGGATGACCGAACCATGTGGTGTAAATTCTGACGAATTAGCATCGGAACAGGCTATGTTGCTGAAAGACGTCATGGCTGACAAACTGGACTCTTGCTGCATCTTACGAAGCCTGATAACACAAGGGCCGGCAGGTAAATTACCGTTTGAACTTGATTGCTCAAGATCAACTGAAAGAGAGTATCGTGATCTGTTTTTTCGAACCCAACCAAAGTACATACCGAGGTTGGTGATTTCCATGGTTACTTTAAAACAACATAGAAGTCGGATGAACTCTTTTCTGTATTCTCTGTTACTGAGGCAATAAATCCATGGATTTAAGCAGGAGTTAGACATGGCTAAAATATTGGTAAATAAGTAGAATTCAAAGGGAAGTTTCAAAATTTCAAACTTGTATAGAATGAAAAATGTTTCTGCCGGAAGCCAACATAATGTTAAAAAGAAGGCTGCTAGTGCACACATGCGCAGTAACCGCTTGGTGGCCTTGTTGTGAGAATTCAAATGGCGGCGAATGTTGGGTTGGCGCATGTGCGACCAAATGTCTCCAAAGGTTATCCAAGTGACTATGCTCGGTATGTAGAACGTGATGATCACGTGAAGAAGAATTAGGATCCGTTCCGTCCTTTCTCCGTAGAATGGAGTAACGAATGTGCAAACGCCATCTTCCGTTGTGGTGATAAAGAGTTCATTGATCTGAGTTATAGCGGCAGAGGCCCAGATTAAAGTTATGTACAGGTACAAACGTCGCTTGCTGAATGCTGTTTTGTAGCGTATGGGCTTCACTATGGAGTACCAACGATCTATAGCCAGGCACATAATCGTGGAAGTTGAAGCTTTACCAAAGATAAACAGAATGTAGGTTGAACCAATCAAACGGCAGTAAATCTCTCCTCCGAGTCCAGTTGGGTAGGGAAAGTTTTTCCTGTCGATCAGGTAGTCTGGTGTAACAACAAGGAAGATCCCTGTTTGAAAAATCAAAATATCACTGTCTCCATTATTATATTAATTTTATATCTGCGCCACAAACTTAAAGAATTACTTTTTGAGGATCAAGGTGATTGTGGTTTTAGTCTGTCCTACTCTTTGTCCTTTTTTTATTTAACCAATGGAAGATTTGGTGATCTGTAGCTCTAGCGAAAAATTTTATTTGAGTTTTCGATGCTTACAAGGGATAGGCGCAGGTCCAACTGAGAAGTGCGGCATGTGTTTCGTCCAAACAAAGAAGAGCAGATGTAACTTCTCAGACTTTAAATTTGATGGAGTTTGTAGTCTGCTTAATAACATTTTGGATTTTGATTAAATGAAGTATCTACTTAGACGCTACTTGCTGATCCATGTTACCTATCACCCTTCATTAAACGATGAAGCGAAAGTACAATCTCCAACTTTAAAAAGCCAAAGCATAATCTAAATCGGTGACTTTCCACACTGGGTGCAGTGCAAGTTGTTCAGCTGGAAAGATGTCTAGCTGAACAAATATCTGGTTTACAAGGCTGATATAAATGTCAAAGACCCAGATACATCGAAAACAAAACAGAAAAAGATGTTTGAATGGCAATTTTTTAATGGAATATTGGAATATTTCTCCTCTCGAAAGGAAAACAAAGGTAACAAGAATTCTATTGGAAATAGATCGGTTACTATTTTTGTAACGAAAGTCGAACAATTGGCACATCATGTCACATTTACTATTGTTGTATGACACTGTGAAACAGACGCATAAATCGTACTCGCACTACTGGTCTATTAAAACATACCTGTGAGCATATCAGTTAGGGCCAGGTTGCAAATAAGAATATTGTACGGCTTTTTCAACATTGAGCGCTTCATAAAAATGACCAGACAAAGAATCAAGTTGCCAAAAAACGAAAGGCTAGCGATTAATCCAAACGATGTTTTCATTATAACACTGTGGTCTCTAGCTCCAACGGAAACGTTGCTATGGACAGTTTGGTTACTTGCACCATCAAGTGTAGCAGATACGTTGTTCATTATTCTCAATTCCGTCAAGCAGAAAAAAATTCAATTTATCTCAAGGAAGCTTCGTAATAAACGTCGTTTTAGAGTCGGTAGACAAATATGTCTTCAATACCTCTTGTTTATAAAGCTGCTAACTGCTTTGTATGCCTTACGTTGATTTGCTGAAAGAAATTCCCTTTGCATATGTCAAAATGAAATCTGTACAGAGGGTTGATATGCAACGGAAGTTGGTCTAAACCATTTCACTTACGGCCATGATCAAATATTAATAGCACTATTCACATTAAGATCACTGCGGTGAGATAAAACTTTTTTGTATATGTCTAACAATGGAAATGCGACAGTGACAGGGACCGCATGGGATAAAGTAATTTGTTATCGCTTTCACCCATGTTATCCTTTTATTTAATGAATCTGAGGAGAAGTTTTCTCAACTTTTTGTGCTTTAACTCTTCTAATTAAAGGAAAGATAAGATTTTTTTTCACCAACTGATAAAACGTCGTAATTCTCGAGTGACTCTGTCGCAAAACTTCATTGCAAAAAATTATACTGCATCAAGCACTAACGAGCCAGTTCGTGAGTAATCGATCAGATATTCAATAATCATCCAGTGTCAAAAGAATTGTGCGAAAGAAGCACAAATCAATTTCCGTTGATTGCTCAGTTTTTTGGACCGTGATTTACGGTACAAACTTCCTAAGAGTGTTGAGTGATCATTTGAGCTACTTCATGTTCACCTGTTATTGTTTGTATGTCTAAAGATCTCAATATGGCAGATATATTTTTAACTCACTGATTTTTTGATCATGGAGTCATCCTTATTTGACACTGAACTTCATACGGTGACGTTGATATCGTTCCAAATAAATCTGTCACCCTTATTGTAAAAAGCTCTTTCGTTGTGACAGCTTCTTGACGTTTCTGTACGCTTATATTATGCACTGAAGTCAACGAGATACAATTTTTTCTTATTAAAAGTTGAATCTTCCAGTCCTACTCTTTTTGTAATGGGGAGAAGTTGAAGTTTACGAATCTATTCTGCCGATAAGCGTAGCAGTTAGCTCTCATCATACTTCACAAACACGACAGGAAATTTTGATCCTGGCTTAAGATGATAAAAATGAAATATTTACTTCATCTAACTTAAGAGATAAAAAACGAGTTGAGCTGAGTTATGAGGCGTAGTACATAGCAGGTTTATTGTCCTTAGTTACAAGAATCAAAGCCACTACTCCTGACGATCTTAGTGTCTGATTCTCTATGAAATGATGGGTAATGAATCCTCAACCCACGCTCTCATTTTGTAGCGATGAAGATTTCGTTCTAAGTGGTGGAGAATTAATATGAAATCTATTTTTCTAGGATGGTACTTTTCAAATAATAAAAAATCCAAATTTCAGATAATATTTGAATAGTAGGTTTTGTTTAATAAAAAGTGACCTAGGATATTAACCGAGAAATGGAAGGCGAACAAATTGCAGTTTGTATGGTGGTGGTTTTTACACAGTATAACGTTAATCATCAGTTTTACTATGTGTTTTTTTAATACCTCGATTAATTCGAATGTGAATTAATATATCATGTTTATAGTAAATGTAACAAACCTGTGAACACATCTGTGACTGCAAGATTCAAAACAAGAATATTGTAAGTCCTTCGTAACAACTGGCGACGCCGGTAGATGGCCACACATAGAAACACATTTCCCAGAAAAGAGAAAAATGCGATATTTCCGAAGAGAACTCGAAATATTTCAACTTTGCCTTGGAATTGGTTCGTTGGGGGCAGGAAACTTTCGTTACCCCTCGAGAAATTTGTTTTTGAGGTTAAGTTAACCCGAATCATTGTCGTGGTGGCTGCATGTAGAGCAAGGAAAAGACAATAAAAATTGCTGAATTGCGCGTATTGATTTTCTCCAATGAAATAAGGTCGACATCACTACTACAAATTTTGAATACCTTAGATTGACGTTTGCTTGACCGTATAAAACCAGCCACCATTTCTTGGGATTTGCTCTCAAATGTAAACAAATTACAACAAGCTATGAATCTTTATAACATGCAAGAAAACACGTTTGTTCTCGTTGTTTGCATGGAGAAGAAATCACCTTGCTAACATCGACTATGAAATAAAACGGTTGCTTATGATGTAATAATTGTATGATAATTTTCCCGGTTGTATGTAAAGAATAATAATTGTATCTTCCGAGCACATAAGGTGGTGTCAGCAAAACACTAAAGACTTCGTTGAATCTGAATTATTTATCACACGTTATTGGACATCAAGGAAGTCGCATTCGATGCGTTAAACGAGTAGGTCCGACTGTTTCAGTCAATCAGTCACTCAGCTAGTCAGTCAACAAGCTATGCAGTCAGCCTGACGCCAGTGTGCCAGTTGACAAGTCAGTCAGTCAGGAAATCGATCAAGACATAAGCCAATGATTCAGTCAATAAGTCGGTGGGAGTTTGTTTTCCCCATAGATTAAGACGGAAGGAAAGGGGCTATGTAATAGAAATTTTTTTTTTTTAATTTCACACTTGTGTAAATATACAGACAGATTTGTCAAGTTGTCTTTTTTTAACTCAGAAATGGAGTTTAAATTTGAAAATATCGTAGCCGAAAATTTCATTTTTTTTTTCTAACTTGTGCGACATTCAACACTTTCATGAAAGTTTCATTAAATTGACAACAAAGGTGAAAGTAAATATGTAAAGAGGAGCCGGGTGCATTACATGAGCGTAAACAGGGGAGAAAAATAATCTATGGCCTTTCATTTTGACATTTGACAGTGCGAGATCACCATATACAGCTGAGCTTTGCTCACACTGATTCTTTAAACTCGAACTGAAAGCTATTTTCCATAGAACGTAATTTCTGGATATTTATCATGAGCTACCCCTGATATCCCGAGCTGTTCGTTCGATCATTTCGCTTTGACTTTTCAAAGTTCTTTGACACGTTTCCGTTGATGTTTGAATTGCGACAAACAGTCGTCACTACAAACGACAACTCGTCACTGTATTCATGATAGCAGTGTTAAAAATACGTAATATTTCGTCGATGAAAGAAGCCTTTGAGGTCTGTAGATTATTGAGAAGATGACAAAAACAGTTTATAAGGGAAAAAGTGCCATGATCTGAATTCATAATTCTTAACTTTTTATATTTCTTTTCATAAAGTATAAACATTGAGGCTCTCAGTTTAAGTGTTCCTGTGTGATCCTTCACGATGACATTACCTTTTAATACTTTTTCGTCTCGAATTCAAGCAAGGTAACGGCCAGAGAGCCATAAATATTTAACTGTCGTTTAGTGTTTAGAATTATTCCAATTAGAAAGTGGTTTATTGCAATTGGCCACAAATACAAGATGACTTTCTTTCTATGCAAATTTCTGGTCTCTTTTTCGTAAAATAGAGTTAGAATGGTGATCATCTTTTTTTCTTAGGACCTTTGCGAATGGAACTCTCTACCTTCAGAGGTTGTTAATTCTATGTCATCACTAATTTTTTTGGACCAATTTAGCGAATTATTACTACTTATTACGTAGAGATGGCGATATAAGACTCGCTGTTATTTTTCTTCCACCTTTACCGTCCTTAATCAAATGTTGATGTAAGTCTTCCAAATTGATTTTAAATGTACCATATAAATATAAGGCAGTTTTTCTTGCAGAGACAGCGTTTCAGTGTTATGTATTATAAGTAATGCTCTGTATTTCTTTTCAAATGGTTTTGTTAGTGCTCTTGGTCTTTCTCTAATCAAAGGAATGGTCTGCACTTCGCTTATTTTCTTGATGCAAAAAAGAGTTAAACGAAAACACTCACACATAAGCAGTCAAAAATTTTTAACGAGTAGGCCTTCAAATTCCGTGATTTGCCTGATGTTCACACTACTTTGAATGAGTATGCGCACCTACTGCATCAGAAATATATACTACATTGGAAACATACCTTTCATCTCTACAAAAAAATACGAAAAATACACTAAACGCCCTTAAAAAATCATAACGACTTCAAGCAGACTGTACTGAGAGGCTCGATTTGTCTAACCTGTTAACATATCTGTAACGGCAAGGTTTAACACCAGCATATTGTAAGTCTTTCGAAGCAATGTTCGGCGTTTGCAAATTGTCACACAAAGGAGAATGTTGCCGAGGAAAGCCCCAAATGCAATGCTACCAAAAATAATCTTGTAAACATTATTGACATTGTAGTCAACCTTGTCGTGATGCTGACGTGACGCAAGAATAAAACTTTCGTTAAAGGATGAGTTTGTGCCCAAATTCGTTGTTGCGTTCATCCTCTGAACGATGTGTTTCACAATGACTTCAGCGGACCATAGCGCGGTAACCGTTTTATTTGTTTCTGAAACACCTGTCCAAACAGTTCTCTACGCTAGTTATCAATCGATCTTTCTAGCTTTTTATTCCTGGTTGATTTCTTTCCTTTTAATTGATTTCAATAAATTTCTCCCTTTTTTAACAAAGTTAAATATATTTTACCGACGTTCTTTCATCAATTTTCTCGGAACCATATTTGTGCTCTTTAAATTTGACCCAGGTGTGTACACAGTAAAAATACAATTACTTTTAGAATCGGAGCTTTTCCTTCCCATTAGAGTATAAAGTTTCTTATCATTTTTTTCAATTCTTTTAAAATGATGAAACATTAGGACAGTGGGTTTTACCGGAATAACCTCTTATAGCTGGTAATCTTGCAGGAAGTTCAGTCAAATTGACAGTTTGACTCCACTCCAATGCTCAATTTGAACTTAAGTGGTTCATGTAGTTCCTTGAAAATCAGCTTCTGTCTGCTAAAATAATATGTTTAAGCTAAGACAATACAATATAATATTTCTTTACCATCGAAAAGACAGATGTGAAACGTTAACCAGACTGATTAAAACTGTGCTGTTTAATAT